GCTGAGACCTGCGCCGTCAGGCTCTCTGAAAGCAGTAACTGTGTTCGCTTGAGAAGCGATATTGCATGCATTGTACTCATATCTGTGATGAATGAGTGAAAAAGGGGTCCCTTTGTAAATCCAGTGTTCATACCGTGAAGATTAGGCTGGTCCTAATTTCATAGAGTAATTCGCTACACATGTAACATTTTAACTGTAAAGTTATTCTTCCAGTAAAAGGATGTGTAAATACACGTCCCGTCGTATTTTCAGTCTGATATGAAACTGGTCACTATGGTAACGGGGTAGCGAGTTGGTCACGCAAACTCACATAGAGCCGACGTCAGGCGAAGGGTAGACCGTCTCATGTCACAACAGTTTTGAGCAGCCTACCTGGCCCAGGTAGTATGTGGCCCAGCTGGGCTATGTGCTCATGAGGATCCAGCCCATGAATTGAGACACAGCCTCTGTGTGTCAGTGATGTGAGGAAGACGAGAGGAAGAGGAGGGGAGACACGTTTAGAGAGTAAAGCAGAAACCTTCCTCCAAGCTTGTCCTTTAAACACAAACTTCATGGTGCCTGAACCAAGTGGAGGATTTGGAAGAAGGACTTCTGACTTTTTTTTCTTTATGAATGATGTGGATTAAAAGAAAATGTGACGACATGAAGAGTTCAGTCCAATCAAAGAAAGMAGCCTCACATCAGAGAAGTCTTCTGCATGAAAACACGTCAGAAGAAACAAGACACACTTTATTCAACACTTCACAGCTTTATGAGGGAAAGAATGAAGAAATCAACGTTCATTTAGGAGAAATGTTTCCAGAACAACTGCAGTCAAACAGTCAGATAGATGCTGAAGCTGCAGAAAATCAGCTGAAACTAAGAAAAGTCACAAAGTCAGAAAATAAACATTATTAATGAAAACTTTCAAAAATATTCTGATCTAACTTTGAGCTCATCCAATCCAGCTCTATTCTGGACTCACTCAGACCATCTACTGACCTCAGAGTCTGAAGTTTGTAGTCTGGACTCTCCACAAGCTCCAACAGCTGCTGAACATCTGGAGCCTGAAGGTTGTTGTGACTCAGATCCAGTTCAGTCAGATGGGAGGGGTTGGACTTCAGAGCTGAGCCCAGAGAAGAACAGCTGATCCTTGACAAACTGCAGTTCTCTAATCTGAATAAAGAATAAAAGCTGTGAGCTGAAGGTTCAAACTGAAATCTGAACTAAACGACTGAAGTGGACAGAATTAGTTTTACTGGATGTCAGAGACACAAAAACACAATCAATTCACAGCAAAAATAGGAGTGTTAAACTTTCAGTGTTAAACTTTTGGGTGTTAATTTAATACCCTGTAAGAATATTTTGTGTTCGTTAACTGGAATCGTGACAAAACCACATAAACTTTGAATAGATTAAAATGTGATGAGAATGACCACACAACCCCCGCACTGGATCTGAGCGAAGCTTTCTTGCTCRCGGCTGAAGCAAGCAAAGCAGCGCTGTTGGAAACCGGAAGTCCGGAAATGGATAGAGTCTTTTCTGACTGACCGCTCCCAACTTGTCTGAATCCAGTCATTTCATTCAGCAGCTCTCAGTCTGTCAAGTGGTATTCCTCAAGGATCTACCTTAGGACCTTTGTTGTTTTCACTTTACATAAATGATCTTCCATCTGTTTGTGCTGATGTATCTGTTCAAATGTATGCTGATGACACCATAGTTTATGTTCATGGCAGTAATATCTCCCAGGTGGCTGAGAAGCTCACTAACTCCATGGTTAATATCACAGCTTGGGTGAAACACTCCTGCCTGCTGTTAAACACGTCTAAAACCGTGGCAATGTTTTTTACAAAATCCAACACTAATTTCAGTGTTGAGCCAGATGTTTTTGTATCAGGAGAGAGGTTGCAGATAGTATCTGAATACAAGTATCTGGGAGTGGTAATTGATTCAAAGTTGTTATTTAAAGCACATATCAAAAGGGTCTGAAATCGTTTTAAATTTAACCTCAGTAACTTCAGACATATTTGTTATCAGATGTCCACACAGGCAGCTAAAATGTACATGCATAGTATAATTCTGTCCCACATCAATTACTGTTTACCCATTTGGCCTCAAGCTAATGCTACAACTTTAAAACTACTGTAATCACTATATAAAYGCACTGTAAAAACTCTGGATAAGAGAACAAATAGGGTTCATCACTGTCCAATACTACAAAAACATGGTTTACTCAGTTGGGAAAATATTGTTAAATATTCAAACTTATTCTATTCTAATAATTCTACAGAATTATTCATGGTCTATCATCACCCCCACTTCAAGAGTTTGTTAAAATCTGAACATCTAATAATGTCAGAACCAGAGGTGCAGTTCGGGGAGACTGTGTTATTCCTCAGGAATCTTCTCCCTGTGATCATTAGAAAACTCAAGTTATAACACCTTTAAAACACTGTTAAAGAAATGGCTTATTGATAATCAGAGCTGTCAACATTAGGCTACAATTAGACTGGTTCTTGCTCCCCTCTGATATCATCTTGTCTCATGTGTGGGTTTATTTTTTATTGTTTGTTTAATGTTTCTTTTACTAGTTGGTTTATGTGTTTTTATATGCATTTTAGCTTATAATATTTTAGGCATTTTAAAGTGTATTGTAT